CATCCACATCCATCCACATCCATCCATCCATTACCGCACCGTCGCTCGCCATAGCACTCACCCCTTCCTGCTTTTCTGCACTGCAGCGCTGCAGCGTGACTGAGACCTTGCCGTAGCCGTAGACCTCAAGAATCGCGATCAGCGAACTTTGTGCATCGTTGCTATGGGAGCGGGTGCCTCAGACGCATCTGCCAAGACTGCACAAGAATGCCTGGAACCCACAGTGTCTGCCAGTAGTTTGGTCGATGCGGCGGCATCTACTAGCCAGCCCCCTGCTGGCAAGGTCCCAGAGCCCGGAGTGGCAAACCTTTCCGCTTCTTCGGATTGCAATCTGCAAGAACCTATGGCCAACGCAGACAACCTCCTAGAGTCTAGCCGAGCGCAAGACACAGGGGAGCTAACGCAGTATTTTTTAGGGCCTTACTTGCAAGGCAAGCTCTACGAAGGGTTGCAGTACTCGCTGGACTCCATCGGCGAGCTCTTGACCTTCAGGTATGATGCCCCTGACGGTGCTGTGCATGTGTGGCGTCATGCCTTCGATCTACGTGATGTCCAGTCTTCGGACAGCAAGGAGAGTGTGCGCATCCTCTACCACTACCTTCCTGAACATTGGTGACCTCGAGCAGAGTAGCACAGAGCTTTTCGCTTCCCTCGTTGATAGTCGGGCCCATTTCGGCAAAGGTGTGTATGCTAGCCAGCATGAGCCCTCTGCATTCAAATTGCGGGTCCGTATTCTCCTCAACAACTACAGCAATGGTAGCCCTGATTGTGGTGCGGATGATCCTGAGCATGCTCGTGTCCTTTCTGAGTGGGGGGATGCTAATCCCAGTGGGCATCGCGCGGGGTTTTGTATTCCCATCATTGCTTCCGAGCGGTTGGCCTATAACATTTTTCAGAAGCAGACCCCTGATCTTGCCGAGACGCAAACGCAGGATCCGACCACAGGGAAACTGCGCCCGATCCGCTTAGGCGAGGACTACAAGGGCCGAGCTGTTCATCGAGCTCGCGATGTTTGGGTCCTCAGGAGCGTTGACACTTCCGGCAAAGTGGTAAACGCCTCGGTTGACGCTGACAGCGTGCTGGAGCTCCTAAAGCTCCGTCTGCGAAAGCTCCGGGACACGGATGGGGACACCGGTCCAGCCACGTTGGACTGCATGAGCGAACTGGCCGGCAGGCTGGCGGGCCGTGCCCAGCATGCTGAGGCTGAGAAACTGCAAAGAGAGTGTCTCGAATGCCTGCGGGACAAGCTTGGCGATGATGCCCTTGAGACGCTGTTGACCATGAACAACCTCGCCATCCTGCTGAAAGATCAGGGCCAACCTGAGGAAGCAGAGCGTTTATTTCGAGAGGCCTTGAAGACGAGCCGTGCCAAACTCGGCAATGACCATGAGCATACGCTTCTCTTGGCGGGCGGTCTGGCAATACTCCTGCAGGACTGTGGGCGACTGCAGGAGTCCGAGCCGTTGTACCGTGAAGTGTTGGAGGGTCGCCGGCGAAGGTTTGGCAAACACCATCCGGACACACTCGGGGCCCTCAATGACTTGGCATACTTGCTGAAAGTTCGGAACGAACTGGATGAAGCTGAGTTGTTGTACCGAGAGACTTTGGACGGCCGCCGCACGAAGCTTGGCAACAATCATCCAGAAACGTTGAACTCCATGCACAATTTGGCAGCTCTACTGCAATCTCAAGGACGATTAGATGAGGCAGAGGCAATGTATTGCGAGGCTTTAGAGGGTCGGCGGAAGAAGCTCGGAGAGGATCACCCTTCCACTCTGAACTCTGCCAATAGTCTGGCAGGCCTGTTTGTTGCTCAGGGGCGATTGGATAAGGCAGAGCCGCTTTTCCGAGAAGCTTTGCAGGGTAGAAGGGCCAAATTTGGCGATGACCACCCGTCTACGTTGGCTTCTTTGAACAATCTAGCAGGACTGCTGCACGCACGGGGCCAAGTGCGGGAAGCTGAGCTGCTGTACCGAGAGGCCCTCGAGAAATGCCGGGTGACCTTAGGGAGCGACCATCAAAAAACACTGATTTTCGCTGGCAACCTCGCTCGCCATCTGCGTGACCAGGGCAAGCTCCAGGAGGCAGCCCCGCTCTACAGAGAAGCTTTGCGTGGGACGGAGGCTCAAATGGGGGAGTCGCATCCACAGACGCTTGGACTGATGTTCAACCTGGCCGTTCTGCTGGAGTCTGCAGGCGAGATGAAAGAGGCAGAGCAGCTTTTCCGCGAAGAACTGACTAGGTCCATGAACGAAAATGGAGTCTCCCATCCTGACACCATGGAGTCTGCTGGGAACCTTGTGAGGTTCTTTCAGGAGCAAGGCAAGGTGATGGAGGCACAAGAACTAATTGTGAAGATCCGGCGTGCCGTCGCATGAGCTAGCGTTGCAGACGGCTTGCTTTCTACGTAGTGGCTGGTAAGCAGTCAGGCTGAACAAAGACTGCATCGCATCCCTAAGGGACATTGGCTGGTCTGGCAAGATATCCAAGGTTTCTCCTACTCCCTGTAGCCAAAGGCCCAGGGCCTGTGCCGGAGATACTCCTGCGAGTTACAATGTTTCTCGACTTTCTGAGCAGCTGTCTTTGTCAACTGGGCAGGTGCTGAGGGCACTGCGAATTGTTGTGCGAGCTTTGTGACCAAAAGGGTTTTGAGCTTGAGTCTACTTCAGAGAACAAAGATGGGGTGAACTTCAAGTTGCCTCTCTGGAACATGTAGGGTTGTTCGTGCTAGGGGAGTTAGGACAAGCCTCGACGAGGATAGTTGGTACAGTCAGGGGTCGGTCAAGCTTCTCGTTTGCATCTTCAACGTGAAGGCCATATTAGAGCAGTGAGACACAACAATTTTCAAGCTCGTTGCCAGCACATGAGATCTAGAAAAGCAACAGAAACAAGGCACAGCAAAGCATTGAGGCTTTAGTTTTCAAGTGTTGTTTGAACCTTTTTTTTGCATGGCTTGCTTCCTATATACATTTTCCCTGTAGCTCCGGATTTTCTAGGCTACTTTTCATGGTGCCCCACAAGATTAATGGAAAGAGCGATGCGCAACTCCGATCGAAGCCTGAAGCCCTGCGCGTGCATCGAACCACCGTGCGCCCCCTAGTCAGTAAGCTCTGTTCATCTCTGTTCAGCTCAGGCCCAGGGCGGCTAGGGTCTAGCGGTGTCGACCTTCAACTCGGTGTTGGCAGGCACTGGGCCCCCGTCGGACGCTGTTTCCGGTGATCGATCTTCACGGCAGGGCCGCCTCCCGAGTCCTGGGCGCATGGTCATGAGCCAAGCGTAAGAGCGAGACTCTCAGGTCTCTGCAGTGACACTCCTCCCGGAAATGAGCATGCCGAATGTGAACTTGAAGGCAATTCCTGAAGCTTCTTGAGCTGGGAGGACTCGGTCTGCTCTTTCGATTTGCCGCAGGCGCGAAACAAGATCAGAGAGAAGGACCTGAACCCACTCGGCTTTAGGGGGAAGAAGGCCAGGGACGCTGCCACAGTGCAAGGTCTGCATCATTTCTCCAATTCTGACGTTCCGAGTCATCCTGCAGCCGCCAGTCTACAGTCTCCGATCCAAGCGTCATCAGCTTGAAGCTGGAGTAGAGTTAAATCGCTAGCACCCTCCATCGGGTCCAGACTCGGCGTTTGCCAGGCCCTTCCAGTGCCGGGACGGAACCTGCCTGGCTTGGGCAAGGCGGGGCCTTGGCGAAAGTCGGGGCTGCACATCGTGTAGAGTCGTCTTCTCACGCACATTTCTTGCCAATTCATACGTTTGGTCACGAGCAGGTTCGACCCTATTAACATGGAAAGCCTTGAGCCAGGCTGTGGAAGTTGAGCCTGAAACGCTTCCGGGCTTTCACGAGCTCTGAGGTGCTTGCAGTGCCTGAGACTGTTCAATCTGGTTGGGTAAAAAACTCATGTTAGGCCACATAGAATCGCAGAGCATCCTCGGCGGGAGGGACCGGGATTTGAATGTCTTGCAGAGGGTCGCTCATCGCCGGACGAGGTTCGTCATGCGACTGCCTTGACATAGAACTAGAATTTTGCTATAAAACCTTCCACCTCGACGCTCAACTGCGCACGGTTTCACGCACGTCAGGTTTGTCGACGTGTTTCTTCAGTAGTCGTGGAGCCTGTTGCGGGGGGTGACATGAAGCTTTTGACAAATACTACAGCATATCTCGTCTCGGAGATGCACTCCACGTCAAGCACTACCACACTTTTCGACAAAGGGTCAAGCCGACTCGACAGAATCAGAATAATTACTTGGGTGCTCACTTTGGTCGCAGAAAGCATGCACAAATTGACATACGCACACACACTCTCCGTCTCCGTCTCCGTCTCCGTCTGCGTCTCCGTCTCTGTCTCTGTCTCTCTCTCTCTCTCTCACTCTCTTTCTCTCTCACGCACACTTGAACATCATCGCTCTGAAGCTGCAGGCTCCAAATGCCGAAGGCATTCCAAGATATGATCCGAGTTAATGTCGTGCCATTGAGTTGGTTGCCAGCATGTTTCAGGCAGAAACGGCAGCAGCACGCCCCCCTTCACTGCCTCAGTTGTTGCTATTCAGTACTGCTGAGAGTTTTGTCCAAATGCACTGAAATCGGTTGGCGAGGCATGTGTCTGGGAAGGTTTTGGCTCAGTGGATCTGGAATCCAAGGCTCTGGTTGCCATTGGCACGAGTGGGGAGATTCATGAGCATTGCCCGGAAAGACAAGCTCAGCCACATCTCGTGTTTTTCTGTGGTCAGTTGCCCCTTTGCCAGCAAACAGCAGTGCGAGCCTGCAAGGCACATTCTAAGTCCGTCTGCGTTCTACGGCGCCTCTTCTCTGGATCACTGCTATGGGCCGCTGGCACTGGTTGGGGCTGTGGCTCTTCCTTCATGAGGCTCTTTCCTCCCCCTAAAAGCTATGCCAATGCAAAGTTGCATAAGCTGAAGACTCGAGTGCAGAGGTGGGCTGTGTGTTTTCAAGCATTGCTGCGAACTGCTGCAGTCTGCTTCATGACTGCTTCATGAGCTTCACAGGGCTTGGAACCCGAAAGCTCGAAGTCATTTCACCACCGTCAGGTCACGCAGCTGCCGCTCGTGGAGCCCCCGACTCCACGCGACGTGGAGCGCCGGCAAAGGCTACATAGGCCCCAGGGCCCCAGAGGTATAGGTAGTTTGTGGCCTTGTGCGAGACAACGGCACTGCAAGAACGTCCTCCGCTGGAGGGCGTGAGGAAGCACGCTGTGCAGCTGCGAGCCAGGTGGCCAAACTTCCCTGCTGACGTTGTCGACACCTTCCGGCAGTGGGGTCGAGTTCTTAGACCGAGCCACTGCAGTCAGCTGATGCTCAGTTTGCACCCAGCACCGCCACGAACAAGCACGGTCTCGTCCGGGAGTTCATGTGCCTTTTCATTTCCCTGCCCCAACTCAGCAAAAATACTGTCCATCCAGGCCCGGAGTCGCAAGGACAGGTATTTGCAACTAGCTCGCACTACTCGATTGGGAGGGTTCAGCACATCTTGACCCTGGCGGTGTTCTAATTCTGTAGGCTTCAAGCGCGCTAGCCGGCGGGCCTGTCACACCCGCTCTGTTCTTGGGTTCCGGTGCCCCGGTTTTGCAGGTGTGGAGCCCAGGTTACTGGCCTCTGAAGTCCCAGCGTTACGTGCCGGGGGCGCTGTGGATGTCGACGAGAGGCCACACAGTTTCGACTGCATTGCCATCCTTTGCCCAAGATTTTCCTCAACTGGAGCCCGGGCTGTCGTCATGGTGACTCAAGTACTTGTAGCCAGGTTTCTTTAAGGGTCGTCCTCCGTCCCGGCCTGGCCGCCAGGATGCGCTTCCTCACTTCCGTGTTGCGGAGGAGTGCGCGGATCTTGGGCAGTGGGGTTTTCGGATGCAACGGAGCTGCCACAGATACGTCTTCAAGCTGAAACCGCGTGGAGGCAAGCACAACCATGTCTCAGTGGTACAAGGTCGCAAGCCTCGCAGAGCACCCGCAGTTTCTGTGGAGTCGCTTCGAGGCCGTCCCGTGAGTTGCTACCGGCAGTTGCATCTCAACTCACTTCGACAAGCCATTTGATGCTTGAGTTCAACCGCTTGCACTGCTTGCATGCTCCTCATCTTGCCGGTTGCCCAACAGGGTTTTTCAGTTCCATGAAGATCCAAGCACGGCACGCACATTCACATCAAGTACATGGTATACATGAAAGAGCCACTACCTCCAACGTGGCGACCTCACATAGTTTACATCTGCCACAGTCGAGTGCAGGCCAGGCTGATGAGCGTATCCAGATCTGTGCCTGCCAGGCGCACATCTTGCCGCGGGCGCTCTATGCCGACCAGTTGCTTGGCTGATTGCTGACCTCTTTGCTTTGGACTTTCGGTTCAGCAGTGCTCCATGCTTGAGACACTGTCTCCTCTGCATGGCTTTGAAGTTTGGGTCTATGACTAGTGACTAGTGCAGACTTTTGACAAAGTCGTTTTGCGGTTTGTTCTACTGCCAACAAGTAGCACCCGAACTCATGCCTTGACGTGTTTTCCCGCTTGCTGAGCAGCAGTTCCAGGATTCACAAATCCATTGGGCAGAGTTCGCAGAGACACCGTGGGGTCAGATGTTGGGAGACACTGAATTGAAAGCGACTCAAGCAGTAACTGGAGCGCAGGATTCGTCTCAGGACCAGGTCTTGTTCGTACTTTGGAAATGCTGCGGTTGCAAGTTGCAAGAGAACATAGGAGAACCTCTCAGGCGTTGACTGATCCTAAGGCTGGGCCTTGTGCAAGTCATCGGCTTGCGAGATCTTCTCGGAACTCGAGACACAGCCCTCCAGGAGCTTCCTGAAAGCGATACCGTACTCCACATGTACTATTAATCAATGGTATACATACCGTCGGTATACTTACATAATATGTGTATGTATGTATGTATGTATGTATGTATGTATGTATGTATGTATGTATGTATGTCTATGTATGTCTATGTATGTCCATGTGTGTCTATGCATGTCTATGTATGTGCATTCACTTTACTGTTGTTGTCGTAGTTGTAATAGGCGTACGTAGATGTACAGATATATGTCTATGGCATAATAGCTGCATGTATATGCTGTGGATGTAGATGTGTATCTTCATATTTGTGCACGGCTGGCACGGTATGTATACGTAAACGTATCTGCAGGTGCATGTGTTTATGTTATTGTTTTTGTTATGTGTGTATGTACATGCCCGCGTGTGTTGGACAGTGCTGCGTTATATTAAACACAAACATGCGTCGATGTCTACAGCAATGCAAACAAATACACCTCTCTCTCTCTCTCTTCTATACTATCTCTATAGTCTATATGTATATATACACACACATGTGCAAGCAGTCCCGTGTAGGTACTGGTTTTGTGTTGCTTTCCGTTCGGGGAAAGTGGTGTTGGCTTCTCATGTTGATGTTGTTCACCTGTCTGTCACTGTCCCTTACCTCATGAGCTGCTACTGCTGCTCTGGCTACTCCCTACTGCTTGTCCAAGCCCAGATCCACCCTCGTCCTACGACTAATCCCCCAGTCCTACACCGACGGCGGCGACAGCGACGACGACGACGATGGCGCCGGCGGATAATGCACTCACCGCCGCAACGACTGTGCACAGGGTACCTTCAATTTCCAGTTACTGGGTTTCTTTATGGCTATGCGAGCCCCAGCAACCGGAAAACTTCATCTGCAGGATGCCAAAGCCTGGCCGGCCGTTTGTGGCCCGAAAGCTTCTCGTGCCGACTACGAGGAGCCACACTGATTGCTGGCTGACTGAGCTCCAAAAGTCCTCGAAGCCCGTTTTCTGGGGCCTTGTAAGCTCTCTTCAGGAGCTCCATCGCCAGGCTGGGTTGACCCGTCGTGTTCCTTTGCATGTTGTGGCCCGAGAACATTCCGGCAGCGCCCAGGTGCAGCAACTCGCCTCCCACTCTGCACGGCTGCTGCCACTGACGCTGGCAGAGGGCCTCGATGGACTTCGGAGAAGGTGTGCTGCATCATGCGTTTTGTCATTGGCGTTGGGCTGTATTGTTGTTCAGTTTGGATTCACGCGTGAATGAGCATCATCTTGTACTCGATCGGATTTCGAGCAGACTGTTTGCAACAGCCGAATCAAGCCGAGCACTCCTGGCCTTCTGTGTGGGTGTGTGTGTGTTTGTGTTTCCCGTGAGGCTGTCTGCGCCTCGCATCACTTCCAAGGGCCCCCCCTGAACGCTTTGCAGAGCCTGAGCTGCCAGCTGGGCATCTGAGCTGACGCGAGCGCTGGCTCTTCGACTCGGGTCTCGGGCAGCTCTTTGCCCCACGACCTGTGGAAATGCTTGGTGCCTGGCATGCTGTCCGCGGTTCGAGCTTGCAGAGAGCACAGACGATGGCGCAGCTGAAGGCCCTGCATTGGAACGGGACTTGGCTTCGCTGGGCGAGATGTCATGGAAGAGATGTCGTGGAAGCTTACGTCGCGGACGTGGAGTCGTGCGGGAAGCCATGTTCTTCGGATCAGACTCGTGGTCAGCCAGGAGGGTCGGCTGTTTTCAGAAGACCTTCCTTGCACCTGCCAGACTGTCGTGGAAGTGTTGACAACGAGGAACCGCTGCACGCAGGTGTTCAAGAAGCTGTCGCCGAGAGATTAGAAGGGAAAAAGTATCGAGTGGCTGCAGCTGTTCAGGTCCGGAGCGCCAAAGGCTCTGGGCGATGTCTGCCTTCTTGGCACTCATCGCTGCCGTCGCTCTGGATTCGGATTACTTAGTTTAAGGGAGAGAACGTGGTTTTCGCCGCACAAGGCCAGTTGTTTTGCCAGCTAGCAGCACAGCTAGCAGTAGATGACGTGATCGATAGCCTGGTTCTGCAGAGCGAAGGACTGGAAGATACTGGAAGGTTTTAGTGTATAGTACACCCACCACGACTTGATGAAATCAACTTCGCTTCTATCTTGCCAGATCGGCCAAGGCCACGAATCATGTCTAGCTGAATATTGCAGTACCCATGCCTGGGATTGACAATTCCTTGACTGTTGATGTTGAAGCTGATGTTGACCTGTTATCGTACTTGCAGTTTGACGCACGCATAGCCTCATGTCACGGCGTAAGTGGATGTGTGTTTGGTGGTTTCACGAGCCTGGTGACCATCATATTTCCGACTGCAAACTTCTGCGTTTTGCACCATGCCATGGCTGCAGAGCAGCTCCTTGATCTGGCCCAGCGCCTGTCACGAGAGCTCACAGAGGTGCCGCCAGAAAGGCTGGGGGTGCTCGCTTCTGTGAAGCCAAGCCCCTGGTTGCCAGGCGAACACGCGTCTGTCCGAGGAGCGCACACGTCTCTCCAAGGTCAGGGCCTGGGGCCGGCAAATAGATGGTTCATTGCTGTAACCCCTGGCAGTTGCTGATGCTGTGGAGACCTGCGATCCTGTGTGCAGCCGTGTTCCTTTTGCAAGGATTTTGACAGATTCATGTCATCACGCGACGTCCGTACTGAGCATTGCTGTTCCTGACAAGCCTTGGCTTGGCCCATCCTGACAGTGAAGTAGGAGCCTACATCAGGCCGTGGCAGCAACATACTTAAACATCTTTCGCAGTCCCGAGTGCCGTGTTTGGACGCCCTGAGCAGCGAGACATGATGCAAGCCTTCCTGGCAAGCTGATGGCGCTTCATGACGAGTTTGTGCCGGATCTGGGACCGCAGGCAGGTGTTTCGTGCAGTCGGCATCCATGATGTGCTCGCCAGCTTCTTGCAGCCGCTCCGTCACACGGATCGGTGCTTCGGCGTCGCGCGCACACTCCCATGAATGAAGTGTTCGATTTCTTCTATTCCTGGTCGGCGGTCTCAAAGCCTGATGTAAGAAGCAGTGCGCAGCATGTTGGTGCCATGCAAGCAAGCACCTGCCGGCATGCTTCGCCATATAATTGCCGTCGCATCCAATGCCACGCTTCAAATAGCTGACCACAAGCCGTGCAGACCGACCGTGCAAGATGCACACGATGTTGTGGTTGAAGAGTCCGTAAATCTAGCTTCGATCAGCCCTCAGTCGCAAGCCGACTCGGACATTGAGAACGGAACAGGTACAAACAGCAGTTGTCCGGCAAAGGACGAGGTCAGACCAGGCTCTTTTCCACACGAGAAGCCACGCCATAAGTTGTACCCTCAACCCTCCGTGCCGGTTTAGATGGCATTCGGCATCAAGAGAAAACTCATCAGGGACAGAGCGGCCATCGCAACCCACGAAATAAGCGAGAACTTTGCGCGTGGTCGGCCCCCTTCTGCAGGACAGGTGGATGAACGTAGAGCTGGAATGATGCAGCGAGTATCGGCGAATGTTTAGGCGTCGCGCTCCTCACCGGTCCCTGCTTGCCGCTGATGACCGCTGCGGTCCTGTAGCTGTCGACTTGCGTGGCAGAGCAAATACCCCGTGAGAGCTCCTGTGCCTTGTCCTGCACTGCGCGCCTCGCATGTGCTCGCTTCCGCCATCTTCCGCCCAAATCCGCGTCTGGTGAGAACCTGCCGGGAAGTCCTCACCTCTGAGGTTATTACGGGCTCTTCAGCGCAGGGACTCGCAAAAACCGCGCAGCGTTGCTGCGACCGTCTTATATCATGCTTTTGAAGGTTTTTTTTTGCCAAACCCTCTTTCTTGTCTTCCCCATGGCCGAAGCCGGGTGTGCCGACATAGGCGGCCCCTGAAGGCTGCTGCCTCGTTTGCACGGAATTCTGCGAGGTCGTAGACTTAGACCAGCTCGTCGTCGACTCGCTTTTCGGGCGAGAAGGGCGAGGTCGGCGTTAAAGGCAAGGACAGGGGAAAGGGCAAGGAGAGGCGATCTCGCGGGTTCTGTCGAGCGTCAAACCTGACCTGGCGAGGCCACCGTTGTCACCGTGTCCTCCATGCTTTGGTGAAAACGGGCCTCCATCGCATTCGATGTAGAAAATGTGTTAGAAAATTGTCCGACACGCATCGACACGCTCAGCCGCTCAGCCAGCAGACACAGTTGGCACCGCCCCGTGACGCTGGGAGGATGCTAACCCTCCGCATGACATGGCGACCAGCCTGCAACTGGCGACCCGTATTCCTCCATCCAAACCTTGGCCTTGAACACGACCTCTCTCAGGTGAGTCAGCTGTTTCGCGGCACTGCTGTGACCGTACCCTTATTTTGCAGAGCTCAAGAGGACTGCGCACTCTGCCGAAGGCAAGCAGACAAAACAAAAACCCACACGCCGAAGGCTGCACATAGGCATGTCGAGACGCCCATGCTGGCAGCTGTGCGCCTTGGTCGAGACGTCGCCTTCCCGAAACCGAACGGACCGCACACACCTTTGTCTTCAGGGACGCGTTTTGCCGCCTGACAGCCCGCTTCTTGGCCCAGCACTTCGCCGAAGCGCTCCAGATCGCTCCAGAGCAGTTCCGTGTCGGCACCGTCTCGGGCACCGAAGCACTTTCCCTCCTCCACGTTGCCACCCTCACACCACCGTCCTGTTGGTCGGATCCCACACGAGCTCTTGCAAGCGGAGGGCGGGGCGGAAGCCGACACCCTCATGCATGCGGATTACTCAGTTGCCTAGCAGGCCGCCCTTAACGCGCTCTGGCGCAAGGCGAGGGGGCCTACATCGTCTGCTCCACCCGGTATGGCGTTCTCAAACTGGGACCAAGCTGAGACATCTGAGACCGTGCCTCTCTGTTCAAAACGCCGCCATCAGAAGAACTGCCACACATCGCTGCGCTCCCGCCGCACCCAGCTTCTCTCGGAGACGTGCGGCCTTGGGACTGGCCTTCGCGCCGGCAGTTGTGGGACAAACGCCGCAACCAAGAGGTCCTGTTGCGCCGATGCCCAGCATGCCGCAGCCATTATGGGTCCAGAGTTGTTCAAGCCACTCGAGCCATCCGAGCAAGTGTACTGTCGCATCTGCGGGCGGTGGCCGGCGACCGACCGCGAGCGTGGCCGCACACGACCGGCGCATCGGTGAAGCGGACCACCCGAGCCCGCCCTCAGAGGCCGCCAAGCGGCGACAACGCACGATCCTCCATCCTTGGTTGATTACAGAATGGGTGCCCGTACGTATACTGAACCTGCAATAAGCCATGGCTGGGCTGATTGCGTTTCGAGGCCTGGAAAATTGCCGAGTGAGACATTATATTGACCGTTCCATGTAGGTTTCTGCTATAAACATTTGTTGTGGTGATGGCTTATCGCTGCTTATCGGTGTCGGCGAATGTTCGTTCCAACCCATCAAGATTTTCGGAATTAAGCCTTGCGTGGTGTTCCGCCACCAGGTTCGATTGTGCAGGCTCCGACGACAACAGTGTATGCGGGCGTGCACAGTTCCCGATTCCGATCTTGATATTACAGAACATTCGGTTGTTCGAGCCATCAAAACCGGTACTTTCGTTCATTTTCGTTCCTTAGTTTGTATGCTTTGAAGCGCGAGGGGTTTTCCCTGCCTCCCGATGCCGCTACGAGAAGCAGAGCGAGACATGTCCCACCATCTTCTGCAGCGACCCGGCATGGATACACAAGCAAGCCGTCATGACGTGCAGACCACACATAATGCTGGATCCATGAATTCCGAATGCACGTTTTCACAAGTGCTGCTCCGGTCCTCAGAGATATCAAAAGATGGTGGGACATGCAGGGTTCCCTACGGCCGCAAAATCTGGTTTTATTGCAGAATCCGGTGCCAAGCCCAGTCCTAATAATGTAGAATGGAGGGGCCTGCGTTTTCCTGCGTCAGCATTCATTTTCGACGCAAAACGTCGAACTCCCCCTCGCTGATATTAGCTCATGTGCGCTTCGTAACTTCTGTCTGCACAATGCAGCGATGGCTTATAAGTGGTGCGCTTCCGCCATAAGTGCGCTTTCTTTTCACTATGACCGCATGGGCGGTTGTTTCAGGTCTGAGTCTCTCCGACCCCCTAGTCTCTACATACCGGTTGGGGTGAGCGTTGAGATGCTGGCTGGGGTCATGTTCGCAGGCATTTTGCCTTGGAAACCCGCCATGAAAGCTTGGCCAATAGATGCTTTAGAAAGGTGGCCAAATCGATCTTTTAGGGCTGGCAAAAGCAAACATTCTCAGCAAAAGCAAACAGTCTCAGCCATTCTCAGCCTGAGGGTACGACTTTTTCCGGTGCCTCACGTGCGCCCGTCTTTCGATTTGCACAAGGTTTGGGTTTGTGCTCTTATGCAATCAGCAAGAAGTCACAGAACACACGTGAAACAACCTGAGGCTGCCGTGGAATGCCGTGGACTCCGCAGGATGCTGCTCCGAATGCCTGACGTGCCTGCGTACTCCGATTGGCAGACATGGTTTGGGTTTGGACCGCAGCTCAGCAAGGCCACTGGGCCGTGACAGTGCTAGCAAGCTGGCGTGCCCGCCAAGCAGCGTCCACCGCAACAGTCAAACACTTTCTGCTGCGAGGTCAGGGCTGTGGGCGAGGGCGCCATGGCGCATGTCGTCCCATACCTTTTTTTTGGCAACGACTTTCTTCCGCCTGCCCAGGAGCTATGCCGCTATGCTGCCAGGGCAGATTTACTATACGTCTCTGTTGATCTACACGAGGTTTTTACACGCCTGCGGCCAAGTGGCTAACCGCTGCGGTCGCAGCGGCATCGCGACGGCCTGTTGCACGGCCACACCCCTTCACGCCCCACCAAATGCGCGACCAGCCCGCAGCTGCCGCGCGGCCAAGGGCTGGCGCAGGTGGCGCACAAAGCGGCAGCCCTCGCCTTTCCAGCGCCCGCCGACCTCCGAACCGAGGACGACGAGCTCGCGGGCCACCGGATTGTTTGGCATTTTGCGGCACTCGGCGATCTGGAGCATGGCGCCGTCGGTGTCAGCGGCTCCCGGCTGGGGTTGCCCCGTCCTCATAAGTGGAGAGCCGAGGGTGGCGTTGTAGCAGAACGCGCCTCCGCGGGGTGGCGCCGTATAACGGACAATCAGGTCGAGCCGTCGTCGGCTGGCACTCATGGTGCGGTAGTGTGTGCCAGCCATTGTTGAGGAATGACCTGCCCATCGGGTCCGACCGTCTCAGGCAACCCGGACCCAAGCTGGCTCGACGATCTTTCCACAGCCGGGGCTTGGGCCGCAGCGGTTACAAGCGCAAGCGGCGCCGCAACGCAGCATGGCCTGCGGGGTGAGAGTTGGTGCAGGCTAGCTCGGCACTGCCGATAGCCAGGCATGCTGGCTGCAAAGCCGGCAGCAGCATGCAGCAGCACGCGGTCGCGATAGTACAGGTTTCGAGCCCGCGTCGCCTAAAACTGCCAGCCGGCAGCCACTTTCCCGGGCCTGCATCACGGGACGGTTGCGACCGGGCGCCTTCGTAAGCAGCATGCCAGATGGGGCGATCGTGCCCTCGGCGCCCTGCTCCAGAGCTGCCAAGCAGCGATCAGCTGCGCCCTGGCTGCGCCGGGCAGGCGAGACCGAATGACAGAGCTCGTCCATCCATGCTGCCCAGCACGCTGCTGGTGTGCTCCGCTGACTGTAAGCCGAGCTTGCCATAAACGATCGTGAACGGCAACGCGATTGACCAGGCCTGCTGAGCCTCGGCCGGAAGCACTCCCCCCAGATATCCCCAGATACTCTTGGAGTGTCTCCCGAATGGCCTGGTCATGCGCACACGCGTAAGACGCCGATTGAGAAGGGTACAAAGCCCAGAGAGCCTTAATAAGTCCCTTCCAGGTCCCTTTTAAGAGTGTTCGCACGGCGTGGTTGGCGCTGGGCGAAGCGCAGAACAGCAGCAACAACCAAGCGCACCAAAGGTGCGGGAGGCCAGGTAACTCGGCCAGTAGGCGGCATTCTTCTTGGAGTCGCGCGTCGGCCCAGGCTTGGACGAAGTTGGCGTGCCCAACCGGCGTGCCCAGCACGACGATCCCACGTTGGGCGGATGGTTTGTCGCCCCCCCAGACATCCTGGCCAAGCTCTGCGATCCCACAGGCGGCGGCGGTCCTGCATTGGCTATCACCTGTGTTTTGCCGAGGTTAGACCCGATGCCGCAGTGGTCCGCCACGGCTTGGGTGGCAGATGCTGGCAGCGTCCAGGGACGCGCGCGCGCGCGGTCCGGACCTTCACGATGTATAGATCGTCCAGGAATGCGAGAATTTCCCGAGCGTGCAGGCCGGTTGCTGTGCGCTGCAGAGCATCGTGCTGCCCCAACACACACAACGCTGGAGCGAGTGGGTCGCCCTGCTCACAGCCCTCGCCGTGGCTTGTTTGTATCATTTTGTATCCATGCAAGTGCAGGCTGCTTCACGCAGCTCCAGAACCCCACGCTATGCAGAAGTAGATCGTTTTGGCGATCATGCACTTGCGTGCCCGCGCACCGGGCTCGCCAACGTCGTTGAGCGAGCGCGGGTATGCGGGCCGCCCGGGAAGCGATGGTAGTGGAAGGCCAGGTCCGCCAGGCTTGACCTTGTTGTGTGCGGAGCGGTGAGCAACGGGGGGGCGCAATGCGGCTTTTTCACGCTGAGCTTGTGTCCCCACTCACGCGTTCGGGGCACCCGCAACCATGCGCAGCGGCCATTGATGGAGCCGTGCTGCGGGTGGCTGAGCGCCGCAAAGCCACCGCATACCCGGAGCTCGCGCGGGGCGGGCCGCAGAAGCTGGTCGTGCTTGGTTCCGAGGTGGGCGGCCGCTGCAACGCTCAGCACGAGACCTGGTGCGTTTGAAGGCCTACCGCGCCCCGCCGGCGGTTTGCGCAGCGGCGACGGCGACCTGCTCTGGGAGGCGCCTGGCTGCAACCGCGGAATCATAGGCCAACTCCGCGACAGCATCTTCCACCTCGCTGCGCTTGCCCTTGCGGCCCTAAGCCTAGCGAAGGACCGCCGCGGGCTAAGAGTAGTTCTGTATAGAGGACGGTAGAAGGACACGTTTCGGCAGGCGGGGAAAAAACACCATCGAACCCCAACAGCGGGGCCGCCACCCTGCGTCGGGTTCTCCGACGCTTCGCACACGAAAAAGCACTGTTGCGCGGGTGGGTCCGGCTCAGCACAGGTATGGCATCCATGGAATGCGGGTTGGTTAGGGTTGTAGCAAGGGCGGCGGTAGACACGGATGGTGAGCAGCTTGCCCACGCACAAGCAGTGACAAAATGATTTTGCCAGATCCTGAACCGGAACGATGGCCGAATCGTGCACTTCGACTACAGCTAAACAAACGATTCGGCAATTGCGCCCCAGGTCGGGTCCTGAAGCAACTCCAGCCCGGGTCTACTGTTATGTCCTGTCTCCATATGCAGGGCACGGTGTGCGTGCAGACCGACACCGTGAGGAACGGGATTTACCGACTCCCTTCTCGAGCCAGCCCTCGCCTGCCGCCTGCCTCGCGCAACGTAATTTGCAGATGTTTGCAGTCGGCCTTGGACTCGGGTTTGCACTGGGACCTTGCTTTGTCGGATGCCGGTAAAAGGTGCGTTTAACCGCGAAGCATCGCCTAGCCTCTTGGGGGAAGCGGCGCCGGCTGAAGCAGGCGATGCCACTCCAGGGTTCACACCACCCGCCTCGCCGACGTTATTGCCAGCCCCCGCCCGCGAGCCGCCATGCTGGCAGGATGCCCGCCCTGGCTTTTCGTACCACTTCTACACGCCGGTGCTGGCGCAATGACACAGGCCGCCACACAGGCTTGGCAATCCCATCCCCGCATTTGCAGGCGCTTCGCAGACTTGGCGGGTGCATTGCGGAGAGCGGCACCCGCACAGCCATCCACCATTATTCTCAACTTCCTTCTCGACCGCGACCCTGCTCACGGAGCG